TCCTGCTGATGAAGGGTGAGACAGGCAAAGTCTCTTCTGGTACAGACACAACCACAAATAATAGCCCGGTGCTTAATTTGTCAAAGCGTGCTCAGAACAAGTTCTATATACACCGATCAGGCATAACATTATGACCACCTGTACATATGTATGCACTTTAGTGCAACACTTCTGCTTCAGAGGTGTTCCTAATATTCTGGCCCTCTCATGTATGTCAATGGGCAGGACAAAAATATAGAAACACCTCTAAATATAATGTAGTCCAGTACAACACCACCTTTAGCTAGGACCTCAATAATGAACATATAATTGAATTTATACATTTTTGACAATCTCACCAAAAACTGAAACATGTTGAGCTTCATAAACCCTGGCTGCTCAGGGAGCTTTGTATGAAAATGTTGCATTGAAGTGTTGCATTGAAGTCCATACAGATGTACAGGTGGTCATAATGTTATGCCTGATTGATGTGTATATATGTAGGAACTGTCTGTATGAATAAGAAAATTTACATTTCTTGTGCACATACAGCACCATTTACATAGAGGCAGTCCTCCAAAATGCTAAATTTGGACACCTACAGTCCTCTGAAATTCCTCCTTAATACAGTATGTCGAGTTGTTCTCTACAAAAGCAAACAAGAAAAAATGGCATGGATAATCTAGTCAAAGCAGAAAGTGCCAGACTTATAGACACTGGCTGAGTCTCATTTTATGTATGAGCTTGGGTTGTTACTAGCAGCGTTGTGTATTACATTATTTCCACTATTGTCATATTTCACTGATGTTATACAAGTGTGTACTGTGATATAACATGGTGAGACTGTGAGTGATGTGCACAAATTTTCAAGAGCTCCTATACTGCAGCAGTGGGTACTTTAATGAAATGGAACTGTACCTGTTGTCAGCACATTAAAATACAGTAACATTAATTAAAGATGCACTGAACGATCAGGTGGAGATTGGAATTGGCTGGGCGACATCGCAGAGGGTTTGTCCAGTTTTTATATACAGTCTAAAGTAGGTGTGCGTTCACTCCTGCATTGGAAGCGCTTGGTGTACAAAAACATCAAGCCTACAGCAACATTTTGGAAAAGGAGAAACTGTCCAAATCTTCAATAAATAGTACACAAAGAGGGAATTATTGGCTACAGCGGAATTGCTTGTATATGTTCAGTGTATCCAACCCCCAGTAAAACACAGCAAATACAAACTACACACACTTCAAAAAGAACTGCATGCTCAATAGGATTGATGTAACAAATATTCTTCTGTTTTTATTACCTGTTGCACCTGTCTACATTTGAAGAGGAAAAAAAAAATGGAATGGAGTGAGCAAGTAATGGATGGGCTGTGTTAGGCGTACATTAGTGATGTTTGTCTGTGACCCTAAATGTGAAATGTAGCAGTAGTTTCCATTAAGACAAAGGAAATGTTATTTTAACAGATTTGTTAGTGTGAAATCATCATGTATTATTAACATACAAATGTATTTATAAATGCAGATATTCAAGGGTGGAGGTTTCCGCTGGTCAGACTGCATTAAATCAGAGCTTGGATCTAAAGGTGAGTGTATTAAAACAGTATACTCTAACCAGGAAGTCTTGAAAATATTATAGGCTCCAGATAGCGCCAAAGGTGCTTTCTAAAATGAAATGAAACCAGCAAAGAGACATTTCCCCAAATTATACACTACTTCACCAGTAGAGAACAAATAAAGGGGTGTTACATAAAGCCATATTGCCATTTAAACCTGCCTTAGGCTGTGTCCTCTGTGTATAAAGTAAAAGCAGAAACTTCTAGCACAACTTCACTCACTGCCAAGGTGCATCGATAGGAAAAATAAACTGAAAAGGTTAAAATTCTAGCAACACTTTCAGTGTATAAAACAATTTTTTTTTAAGACCAACATGTTTTGACTTGTGGCCTTGCAACAGACCTGACAAAGGCTGCACTAGCTGATTGACCACAAGTATTGGTGGAATCCAAAAGTTATTTAATGAAAGGGAAGAGGGCTATAATTTAAGGGGTCAGTTAAATCTAAAAGTTCGTGCTATACGTACAACCAAAAAAAGATTTTGTATTTCTATAAGTGGGGTCAAATTATAGAATAATTTGTGTGGACATGAAAAACAGTACTAGAACTGAGGAGTTTAAATATAAATATAAAGGTATGTGTCATTCAAGATGTATGCAAGAATTAGTGATTTAATCAAGAATGCATGTAGGAAACACTGTTTTAAGTTTTCTGTGTATTACTTGTTGGTGAAGAAGAGAATTAGCTATGTAGAGATACTGCTTGCAGCCAATGATGCATGAAATTTTTTGTATAAGATGATGTTCTGGGGTAGGACTGGATAAGTCTGACTTCTTTAACTTGCACAGGAAACAGTCTGCATTACCTTTTTTATATTACTCTTCTGCAGTTTTCTTTGCATTTCTGACCAAATTATTCAACAATACAAAGCTAATTTCTCTACAAATGAAGGGCTCTGCTATGGAAATCATGAGTTTTTTCCTACTTGTTTTATTTCTACCCCTTACACATCTACAGCACCACTAAACACACCTGTTCCCCTTACTGCTGCCAGACTTGCACTACCCCTTCACAGTTTCTTAACATCCACTTGGGGGTGGTACTTCCCCCATTCGCCCTATTCCAATATCACATAATACCTTGCACTCAGACAGCTTCTGATTTAGAAAAGTATAGCGGATAGCTATGAGAAAATGGCAACACCACATCTTGTCAGGCATAAAATTAAATATAGGGGAAATTTACGTACTGCTTCAGGCTGTACAGATGAATCTGGGAAAGATAAGGCTTTATTAAAAGGTCATATTACACTTTCCTGTAAAATGGATGAGCCAAAATACCTCAAACTTTGGATGAAGATGATCTCCTGAGCAGCCTGGCATCTTCCAAATGATCGAGCAGAATTTGTTCTGACCATTATAAAGGAAATAAATGATTTTTCTGATAATAATGCATATGTACTTAAGTATTGTTACATTTTATATGTTAAGTTGTGATCTGTGAAATATATACAAATTGTCCCTTGAAGATCAAGGCTCTATTTTAACTGTTATATACACTACGGCATGCTAATCAAACTGTCAAGTTTAAAATAATGGAGTGATGTCTTTTTTCTATTGTGAACCCATTAATTTAATAGAAAACATTTAATTTCAACAGAAAACAAACATAAGTCACTTGTCAGTTTTGCTATTCTGTAGACCCGTGGTTCTCAAAGTGTGGGGCGCGACCCACTAGTGGGGAATAAAGACATGACAGGTGGGGCGCAATGAACAGAGAAAATTAGAAATGGGTCATTAATACAAGTAAATTAAAATAACATCAGTTCGGGGCCCGGGAGAAAAAAGTGGAACCATAGTGCAACAATAACGGTTTACTGTCAACATGTTAACTGCTGCGCAACAATATAAGGAAACCTTCACAGAGAGGGCCAATAGTGTACGTAGTAGGCATAATAACGTAAATGGATACATTTGTTACATGGACCACAAAAAAGCAGGCGATTCAGTGCAAGCAGACAAAGAAACAACAGGCAGTAAACCTTATCAACAAAAAGCCAGCTGAAAAGAAAATATGATGAAGCCTATCTTGCGCTTGGATTCACGGTGGGAATGGTGAGGGCAAAGGAGGGACCCATGTGTGTCTAGTGTCTTAAAGTGCTGGCAGCAGACAGCATGAGACCCAACAAATTAAGAAGACATTTAGAGACAACACACCCCAGTCAATTGCTGAGCAGCTTGTTCTCCCTGTAACTGTAGACATGGTGTCGATTATGCTGGATGAAACAAGTGCTGCAAAATTGAAAACTATCTCCCTGTCAAATGATGCAGTTGCACTTATATTTTATTCGTTTTCAACTTAGTGTTATTTGATATTTCAATCAATTTGAAATTTTAAAATTGGCCAATTTCGTTATAATTTTTTGACAAATGGGGCTTGAAAATTCGCCCACCCTCTTAAGTGGGGAATGACAAAAAATGTTTGAGAACCACTGCTGTAGACTAATATTATTTGCAGTGCAGAATTCATTGAGGCATTTTGCTGAGAGCTGGCAGATGTGTTTATGTTCGTAGAGCAGCATTTTTGTCTTGTATCAAAAGGAGAAATACCCCTATACTCAACCTAAGTCAGGTTGGGAGTTCAGTCTTAAATGTCTTTAACCACTGATGATAGCAGTGTTCTTCATATGATAAAATGGGATTGACAAAGGAAAATAGATGAGTAAGCTGAAGTTAGCCTTGTAGAGATACGGTGTGCAGATAATGCACACTCAGTCTCAGGCAATATAGCACATATTTAAAAACCGACTCTCTATTTTATCATACTAATGCTCACATTGACCAAAGACCTCACTTGGACCATGAATAAAGTTTTTATGGTGTAAATATGACCGTCTTTGAGTCATATCCGAGCCTGATATTCTCACTTGTGCTCCACCTGAAACCTGTCGTGGGAATATTTTTTTAGATTGTAACCTCCCAAATTGAGAATCACTAATCTAGACTAACTCTGCTAGGAACATTATCAATATCACAAATACAATCTTCAGTGCTTTTTAAACGTTCAGCTACTTAGGTCCCCACAAACATATGACTGTATATACTGTATAGTGACAGGCCCTGAATATACAGTGCTTGGTGTTTATTTTCTTTTTTTACTCATCTTGACCTCCATCTTTTAAATCACTAACTTTAATCTAGCAGGGGTTTGTTTACAGTGCATCATTTTCTTCACTGGATTTTGCCCAAGCATTATGCATTACCCATATATTTGGAAAATGTTTTGTTTTTTTACAACTTACTTTTTATTTCAGGAAGTTGAGGCTGAAGTTCTTGAATTTGTGAAATCAAATATGATAAGTTGTCAGAAGATCCTCAACCCAATGGGTGTGTCTGAGGAAGTCAAAGAAAAGGAGGAGTTGGTTGATGATGAACTAATTCTGTCAGAAGCTGCAGCCAAAGAAGGGTTTCTGAAGATTGTCCTCCATGTTTTGAAAACCATGAAACTGGATGCCCATGTTTTCATCTTTGAGAAAAGTAAGAGAATGCATCTTTTAGGATTATGTATGTGTGTGTGTGTGTGTGTGTGTGTGTGTGTGTGCATAGTAGGGAATGGTTCCCATGGTTCCATTCATATCATGGTTTTGGGGTCAGCGGTTTTCAGTTCAGTACATTTTTGGTAAAGTGGGGGGAGGGCACTGCCAATTTTAACCTGCTTGTTATTTATTTGGCAAAAAAGTTAAATGTTTGAAATTCTGGCTAAGAACATAAGGAACATAAACACTTCTTAACTGTCAACACAAAACACTGCTCTGTTCATTCTGTTTCTATGCTCTTCTGCAAAATCAGTTTGTTCACACATTCAGGCATAAGACAAGCTCTGCTAGAAAAAAAAAGCAAACTATATCACTCAGTACATACTGTAGGTACCCACGACTGAATAAATGTTTTCTCCACCACTTTTTTGCATGTCATGGAACAGATACAATTCCTAATATCAAATGTGACAGTTGACCTTCATGTCACCCCTGGACCCACCACGCTTTTTAAGCTTCAGCTCTATTTTCTCCCCTTCCTTATTTATACCT